TATTATCAACTTTTCTATTACATTTTCTTTTGTTAATAAAAAAAATGCAAAGTTAAAATACAAAATAACCAATTAAAAGCCATAACATAATTTATTATCATTAACATATAAGTAATATTATACATTATTTATATAAATCATAAAATGTTATAATTAAAAATAAATAAATAAATGGACGGAAAACGTAATAATCATATATTGACTAAAAATTAAACGACACAATTAAAAAAATATAAAAAATATTAGTATAATAAAAAATTAAATAAAAATGCATAAATTATGAAATTTTAAACTTAAAATTAATAAAGTTAATAATTAATAAAAAAATAATAATCAAATAATATAGTTACATCAAAACTTAATAAGATGAATTGAAAGTTTGCACTGTAATCTATTTAATCAATAAATACTCCTCTAACATAATATGTAGCGATAAATGGGTTATATATTTATTAATATTATCAAATATTTATTACAGCACCATGTGATAATATTTGATAATATGATATTTCCTTTTCAAATAAGTACTAATATATTAGGGATCCTTTATTTGATATTAACATATAAGGTAATGATTAAAATCTCATATTGAACATTTGTTTTTTTCAGTTTTCAAACTAAATGCTTAAAGTTAAATTATCATGTTATTATGATGTTACCGAAGATAATTAAAAATTGATCATAAACTAAGTATTAAATTGAATTTCATTAATTTTAAAGAGATAATAATTTATTTTCAACAATTACAATTAAAAGAACTAAAACCCCAATGTTTAATAATCTACGAACACAACTAAATTTATAGAGTGTAGTTCAAATTTCCATATATATTCAATAAAAATTCTCACAAAACTTATTTGATATCGCCAAAATACTTTTTTTTATGAAAAGTATAATAATATTAATTAAAGTAATCATAACAAAATGGTTTCACGTTTTTAACATTTTAAATGATGAGACAATACTTTATTATCATGTTAAAAATAGTGGATAGAAACATGTATCGAGGTCAAAGTCTACAAGATATTAAAATTAAAAAAGTCATGCACGATGGAAAGTATTTTGATCAACTCAAACTATGACAATGAACGTATAAAATTGTTTATGAGTTTCATCTTTCTCATTTCTTTTTTTTTATTACATTTGATAGATGATGTTAGTTTTATCATTTGTCAATACTTAATTTCGTCCGAATAAATAAATAAATAAAAATAAAAAATAAATAAAAGATAATAATAATTAATGGTGAATAAAGAAAAAAAGAAAAAGAAAAATAATAAAATTAAATTTTCTTAAGGTATGACACATCATTATAGAAAAAATATTTGAAATATTAGTTTGATATGGTAATAATTTGAATCAATATTATGTCAATAATTATAAACAATAATTAAAATAGTATATTAATATAATTTGTTGCGTCAGTTGCTTTTAAAGAGGAAAATATAATTTTTAAAAATAGACAAATAAGATAGAGATATATAGAGGAAAGTAAGTTCTCACCCTATAGAAAGTCTACCAAAAGAAACTACCAAAGGAGAATTCGGGAAATACTTAAAGCCAAAAATGTATATCATCTGTGCACCATTCTCTTTCTCCTTTTATTGTACTTTGAAGGTTTTTTGTTAAAAGATTTTATTTTTTTACTATATAAAAAAAGAATATCTTTTCGCGTTTCTTTTTGGTATTGGTTATATCTCCTGCATCACATAATATTTATTTTTTTTAAATTTTAATTAAAATAAATAAATAATAAAAAAAAAAACTATTTCTTATCACGTATTTTCCTATAAAAAAATATTAAATCATAAAATAAAGGCTATGGGTACGCGTCTGCTTATGGTCGGTCTCTTTCTTTTTCTTTTTTTCCCACCATATTTTTTCAAATAAAAGAATACAAAAATCTTTAAAAAAACAATGTCAATCCTTGTCGGGATTTGCTTTTCGAAAATCCCAAATAATCCATCATAATTTTCAAACAAATTTCACAAACTTTTTCTAAATAAAGAAGTACATGATCCATGATTTTTTCATCTATATATGTAGGAGCAAAGTCAATCATTCTCGATTCATAAAACAAAAAATATTTTTTGTTTCTTATTAGTTTCTTTATATAATTAGTTTTAAGAAAAATTAAATATTTTGAAAAACCACGTCAACTTTATACATATGACTCTAAATTCCTGCTTACTGCGTATACTTCTTTATTATGCTTTTTAATTAGTATATTTATGTCAAACTTATTTAAAATACAGAAGTAGAAAAAACAAATTTATGCTCTTTTTGATAATTCCAAGTTGTTTGTCAACAAAAGCAATATTAATAAAAGTATACTCAAATTATTACTCAACATCTAATCAATATTAATAAAACTATATTTCTATTTTAAAATATAAAGTAATGTAAGAAAAGAAACAGTTTTTTATTTAGATATTAGATATAAATTTTATTAAGAAGTGTGCATAATAGAAATAAGGTAGTTGAAGTGAGATGACCATCCATCGACTTTTGTAATGCAACTAAAGTAACATAATATCGATTTCATATTTTAAAATTTAGCTTCAAAATTAGTTTCAATCTTTTTAGTGACTGACGCAGCATGATGTCAATCACAATGAATGAATTAATGTAAAACTAGATAAATTTTAAAAAATAAAGTGCCATCGATGGAAAATTTATTTTTGATAAAATGATCATAATTGCATATTAAATCAAGACTCTAATATAAACTCTAACTAAAGCACTTAAATATTTTAAAAATCAATGATTGATTTTTTTCCCATTAGAATTTCAAAATACTTTCTCAGTAATAAAATCACAGGAAAAAAAAGATTTTGAATAAAGTAAATAAATAATATCCATAAGCATAATTGACGTCGCAATTACCGGCCCTCACGATGGCGTACTTGGGAGATGAAAGATGACGACATGAAGTAAATTACAGCCATGCCCAAGTAATCAAGATAATCATTTTATTAAATAGAGTAAATGATATTTAACTTTTACAATTTTTTCAAATTATACTTAATCTAAAAACAATACATTAATATTTATATATACATTATACGTATAGTCCTCAAGTCTTTATAAACCATTACATTTACATTCCTACTGACGATAAAAATAAAATAAAAATCAGGGATGTTGCAAGGGAAATTTCAGGAATATAGTTTAGTCAATTGGATTTTTCTGACATGTATTTCTTTTAATAGATATTTATGTGAATTCAAAAGTTTTTATCTAATATGTTTTGACATTAGTCTTTAAAAATTTTCAGTCTTATACTATTTTTACGAAGAAATTAATAAATACTAAACGGAAGATTCGTAATGCATATAGTTTATATTTACGAAAAATGAGAATGTAAAATTGAAACATGATAAAAAGAATTTGTAACAAAGATTTGAAATCATATAATAAATTACATATTCTATAAAAAATTTTAATATTTTGTTCTTGAGTTTGTTTATTCTATAAAAATATTATAGCATAAATTATATATATATATATATATATATATATATATATATATATAATTCATTTATTGTACTGTCTAAAGTTTTAATTGTGAAATAAAATAGTATGCATTATTTTCTAACGTCAATTTATAAAAGTATACAAAAATTGAATGATAATTTACTATTGTAATGTTTTTTTAGAAGAAAAGCAAACAAAAAATGTAACTTAATGACAAATATCAATTTTTAAAAAGTACATCGTTTTATATGTTCTTAGTTGTTAGTAGGTCTTTGAGTTTGAAATCCCACAACGTCATCAATGACATGTTCTTTTAAAACCTTAATTTTGTTATTATAAAAAAACAGTTTAATTTTGACTTTTTTTTCAATTAAACAATATTTAATTTTATTGTTTTTTATAAACATATCATAAAATTACTGTAGATAACATAAATACTCAAATATTTGTAAATAAATTTAGTACGGTGGATACTTTCTACTTGTAAATATTTATTATATATAATAATAAATATTTTAATATTAATTTATAAATAAATTAGATGCGGATATAAGAAGAGTATTGATTATCTATAAAAAAATTAAAATTAAAATTTAATTTATATTTTATTAAGTTAAATTTAATTAAAATTAAAATTTAATTTATATTTTATTAAGTTAAATTTAATTAAAATTAAAATTAATTTATATTTTATTAAATTTAATTTAATTAGAACTACATTTTAATTTATATTATATATATATATATATATATATATATTAAATTTATTTAAATTTTAATAAATTTTTAAAATATATACAAATATCTATAAGTATTTTTTAAATAAATATACAACTAGAAAAAATAATTACAAATAAGTTTCTCAATGGAATAATAAGTACACATCATCAAAAATATTAATATATTAACTTGAACGCTGATAGGTTAACAATTTTTTACCAATAAGCCACATGTCATTATTTTATTAGTATGTTTGAATTTATTTTTAAAAAAATATTTAAAAAGAATGAATCACAAAATAAGTGATAAAAAAATTATAAAAAGAATTATTAAAAAGAACATTTTCCTCTTAACTTAGCCATAAAAGAAAAAGGAAAGAAGGAAGAATTTTGAAAAGAAATGTACGGAAGCATAATTATGCCAGAGACGGTGTAAGCGCGTGGATTGGAAATTTCCTGGCAAATTAACTTAACTAGCCAATTCCTTTTGTTCTCCTTTTCACTCCGATGCAATTTTGTCTTTTACAATCACTTTGCCTAACTTTCTCAGTCATTGATTCCGAGGCCGCGTGCTTTAATTTTAATATATAAAATACGTAAAAACAAGAAAAATATCAAAACTAATTTCTTTTTTATTTTTCAAATGATAAATAAATACAATAATTTAAATTTTAATACAATAAAAATGATAACAAAATTAATATTCTTTTAGACTTCTCACATTTTGTGGTCCTGCGCCATTGTTTTACTTACAGTACCTACTGTTGATTCTCTGAAACCGCTAGTTGTATCTGTTCATCTATATATATATAACATCACGAGGTGTAGTGCTTGAGAACTGGTCTACACCAATAACGAAGAAAACAAGATTATCTGGTCGTTGGTGAGGAAAATATCAGTGAGAGAGACTAAAAGTGTACGATAAAGTGCTCAAAGATGGACGTTATGCCACCAGGTTATCGTTTCTACCCCACAGAAGAGGAGCTGATTTCGTTCTATCTTCATAATAAACTCGAAGGAGAAAGAGAGGACATGAATCGTGTTATTCCAGTGGTGGATATTTACGACTACAACCCCTCCCAACTCCCACGTAAACTTCTTATATTTCTCTACTTTTCATTTTTTCATCAATGCAAGTCAAGGATGGTGTTGTGTTTTTGGGTTTCCTGTCAAACATCTATATGTAATTGGTCATAAAATATTAATATTTTTTTATGGGTTTGCAGAAATCTCTGGAGAGGCGAGTCTGAGAGACACGGAACAATGGTTTTTTTTCATTCCGAGGCAAGAGAGTGAAGCTCGAGGAGGAAGACCAAAGCGTCTCACGACCACAGGGTACTGGAAAGCAACAGGGTCTCCGAATCATGTTTATTCTTCGGATAATCGAATCATAGGAATTAAAAGGACTATGGTTTTCTACAGTGGAAGAGCTCCAAATGGAGCCAAAACCGATTGGAAGATGAACGAGTATACCGCCATCAAAGGTGAACCATCACAGGTGAGCCATCATCCTCTAAACAGCCCGTTAGGGTTCTTAGATCAACCATTAGACGTTTGAATTGTATAGTATATACATTGCATGAAATTTCATGGATATACAACGCAATTTTATCGTACATGATATTTAGTGCTGTTTTTATAACGGTGGCAGTTAACCAATCTTTTCATTGCGTTGTACATGTTAATCAGTTGCAGTTAAGGAAGGAATTCAGTTTATGCAGAGTGTACAAAAAATCCAAGTGTTTGCGTGCATTTGATAGAAGACCACCACCAAGGAGGAACACAACGAGGCATTCGATTGCTGAAAATGGTGAAGAACAAGAAAAGGGTTCGATCTCAACGTGTTATGATTATCATCAGCATCAAATGTTGGAGAGAAGTGCAACATGTTCACCGGAGAGTTCTTCCTCCGGAGACCTTGACCATGACCATGACCAACCCACCCTGCACGGTGAGGGAGGAACCCAAATGGATGTCGACAACGACCCTTTTTTGGATTGGGAGAAAGTGGATTTGTTCTTGGGATCGGAATCATGAAGGGTTCCTATCTCGTGCGATCTATCTAATATCTATGCGTTGTTGCTGCTACAACAAAGTTGACTCGGCTAGACACAGAACAATCATAAGACAAGCTTGTTTATGTTAATTACAAATGTTGCAGTACTTTAATTTTTTTTTTATGTTCTTATTGCTATTTCTGTATAGATATGTAGTGACTAATTTAAACTGTCACAAACTCTTCGTTCTGTGATCAATCGAACCATCTTCATCATGCAAATCTTCATAATATTATGAAAATTTTACAGTATACCGTTAGTTTCTTTAGATTGAACGTGATTATCTTTGTGTTTTTCAATGTTAATGTAAGGATTAAAAGACTTGGATATCCCAAAATTCCATGGAGATGTTCACATATTTGTTTGTTTTTTTAATTAATTATCTTTTTAGTACTTGTTTGAGTCTGGATTAATCTCACCCGGATCAATATTTGTGAATAAAAGAAGGTTAATAACATTTTCTAATATTTTTCCGAAAATATGATTTCTGTTAATTATAAATTATTGAAAGTCACAAAATTTTAAAAGATTCGTTTCTTTGTTTTATAAGTCTCATTTGCAATTGTGTAGTATTTAATACAAATTTTAATCAATGGTACGAATGTATTTAAAAGAAAGTGTTACTTATTTGTTTTCTTGCAGCAGAAATGTGTTACGTACTTACTCTTTTTTCTTTTAGAGCAGAAATTTAATGTTACTAGATCCTTAGTTAAAAAGAGAGGACTTCACTGCTCGAAACTAAACGCTTAATATTCTGATCAGTTTAAATTTATAAAAAATAGATTGCCTTAGTTTATATCCTTTTCTAGGATCATATGAGATTAGTGTTACGATAAGAAAAAAACGTTCGCTTTTGCTTTAAAATTCCTTTGATCTTGTTTGCATCTTTTCTCATATGTGAATCCTTGATTGTAGGACCAAAAGCACGAAATGAATGCGGATTAATTCAAAGCAATTGTTTCACTGTAGTTGTGTGTGGTTATAAATTTAAATTTTAGATATATAAATTTATATTAATAAATATCAAAAGAAAGACTTTAATACCAATAGATTGTATCAAACAGAAAAAAGCCTTATTATAAATTCCATTTTATGGCTCACGAAATTTCAAAAATCTGCAAGGATTATACGTATTTACAGCATTCTTTTCTTTATTAATTAATAGCGATCAAACTAGTGATTAATACAACGTAGTAAATTAGTACAAAGAATGAGATTTCATAAAATGGACTTTGCACTTTTATTTTGAAATAAATAAAATCTAGACGAAAAAAAAGGTTATTGATATAGGATGATGAGTAAGTCCTTTTTCCAAAATTATCTGTGCAGTTTAGCATTTCATTTTCAGAATTATAATAAAGTGTTATTTTATGAATTAATCTTCTTCCTCTGTACTTAATTAGATTTCTTTCCAACTCTTTTAACGTAAACTTTTTTTCCCGTTCCGTTATAATAAGTCCTATACATGCATAAAAAAGGAGAATGCAACATAAGTAATTTGGCAAGTTTAATGTTCTGTCTCTGCGAAATGTAAAATCTTATTGGTTATTTAATAATATATTATCAGATAAATAGAAAAGTTTGATTCTTAATTAAAATACGCATTTCTTTATAAAAAAAAAATTGTCTCTAAGAAATAAACATACCTTAAGAAAGTAATACCTCGGGTTGAAATAATCAGCATTTTTATTTTTATTAGAGGAAATATGTATACTACATTTTCCCAGTTTTTATAACTCCTTGTTTGATTTATGCCATGAATTCGTTTAGGCTACCATGGTAGAACAAAGTTGTAACTTTTTCTACCTTTCGTTTTGTTTTTCAAAATAATATTTTCGTTAACCATCATCATACCACGTTAAATGCATCGCATTTGTATACTACGTAGTTCTTTCCGAAGCATCCGTGGAAGTGTTTTATAGCTGTTTTGAAAAGACCAGCAACAGTAAGATGTGAATAGAAGAAAAAATGGAGCATATTAATGGAGATGTCACACAGGTACTGGCCCAGAGGCTCAACTCCTTCCACTATAAGTCTTTAGAAAGAAATTCTTAAAATATTTTGAAATATAATTTTTTAGAATCTGATGCATTGACTTCCCTAAAAAAACGCCATTAGTGGTCCTTGGTGCACCTCAAAACCCTAATTCCTACCTCTACTTGACCATAAATCAAGTAAATCACCTTCAGGACCACCAGTCTTAAATGCAGTGGGGACACTTTCCATTATGACATTTAGATACCAAAATATACTCATGTCCACTGTTATTTATGCATCTGTCAAGAATGCTAAATTATATTTAATTATTAAATAACGAATAATTTAATATCTGTTTATAAATAAATTAAATGTATAGCTATATTCTTTGTAAAAAATTAAAATTTAATTTACATTATACTTTATATATTTTTAATTTTATTTAGATCATATTTTAAAAATTTATAAATTATTATTTTTTAAATACATGATATTCATAAATATTTTTTAAATCAGTATTCGATGTATACATGAGACGAATAATAAGTTAGAATTGTGAGATTATCTAAAAAAAGAACAGGACTAAGATTTTTGAGGATATTGCTCGAGAAAATAAAAACACATTTATAATATAAAGTAAAAAAAAAAAAAATCTTTATGTGTATACACGGACTCATCTGTCATAGCCATAAATCTGTGTAGTTTGGATAAGAATCAAAGTGAAAGGACAACATAGAGAACATGACATTCATGCATTAACGCGTTACGCTTTGAATATTTGATCATTGATACGAGAAAATAGTACTGACGAATATATATTATATATTAAACAATCGCTTTTGATGAATTTCTGAGTAGTTACTATATATGGTGTCTCTGTATCTATCTGTAGAAATTTAAGTGTTGACTAAAAGACCTAGTTGACTCACCCCATCAAGAAGGATTTCTTCTTTTGTTGCTGAATGATCTCTCAAATTAACCATTGAAGAAGTTAAAGAAATGTAAAAAACCTGGCCTACCTGGTCAGAAGAGATTAGACATAAGAGTTGCAGACATGTAGGTATACAGTCTTTTAACTTTCAAGATGCAAAAATTTATTGATTAAATTTTCATAATGCATATTTAATGAAATGTTATAATTATGTATGTTAAAAAGTAAATTTTAATTTTAAGTTAATTCTATAAAATTGATTTGTAAAGTTTTTGTATTTCTTTTATATATAAAGTCGTTTTATTTATATAGTCTGTGTGAATTGTCGTAAAGGTTTAATAAAATCTGTGTATAATTATTAACTTTTGGTTAAATATGAACAATTAAAATTCACTACTAGGTATACCTTTTCTTAGTTTCAACCGGTGGTAACCTTAAATATATTATTCCTTTCTGAAAGACTTGTTTGAGCTTGCACTTTGTTGTTATTAAAATGTTTTGGAGTCTATCAATTTTGTCATCTATAAACATGAAAGAAACATTAATAGTTTAAAAATTAATTTGAGATTTATCACTTGTTATAACGTATCAGTATGTAAAGGTTTGTCTAATAATAGTTTGCTCTTTCTTATTAATTGTCTTTCTAAAACTTTAAATTCTCTTTATATCATGTACGACTTGGCACTGATCTTTCATTAATTTTATGATGATTAATAGATTATAACGTTGAGGAGATAATTAGGAATAATTATGATAGAGTTAACTTTGAGTGTAGGATCGAATATTCACTCAACAATTTCTTAATTTCGATTTTTTTTTAGTAATTTGTTCTTCAACTAATTAGAAATATATTTTAAAATTGTTTGGTGTTAAAGTCAATTTGGATTCGATTTATTAAATAATTAATACTATAATAAATATATAATAAAAAGTTTCAATAAGTTCCTTTGACTTATTTATAGTTTTCTATATAGATTTTTTTATTATGGTCGATCTAATTACGATCCAATTTCGTTTAAACATTATTATTGATATATTTAAATTAATTAGATAATTATTTTGATTGCGATTGATAAGTCTTTTTCATGCTCAATAGGCATGTTGTGCTTGGTGTATATCATACAAGTTCAATAAATTTTGATATAGAAAAGTTCATTCTTCTTATTTCTCTTAATGAACTTATGTGGAGGATCCCCGTAGTGAAGTGTATGCTTTCAAAGTTGAACTGTCATCTCCTGACAAATAAACTTTGAGCTTTGATGAGAGACACAAATGATTTATACTCTTAAGATATTTTTCAACACTCAAGTCAATAAAAATTTATAAAATGTGAATATCTAAGTGTACGAGAAAAATTGATCTTCACGCCATATGATGATATGTTGTGTATATAAGCTTATTAGGTCCATAAATATAGATATGTATAAATGGATTCGGTTATTGGACAACCTCATAATATAATTGTATAGTTTAAACGGTTTTCCTCGAATAATTTATTTTTCCTGTTTTGGGATTTATTCCATATATCTCATATTCAAGCTAATGAGATTGAATACTCAATTGTTTATTGACAAGAAATAAACTTTTTTTACCTTTGGCTAATTTACTCTTATATTTTATTTTACTTTTTTATATTTTATTTATATTTATTTTGCTTAATGTTTTGATTAATATTTTTGTAATATCCAAGCGATTATCGTTATAGAATATATTTGTGGCTTAAAGCACCACACTAGTAATTTAGGAATGGGATATTTACTCAAACGATAATGTTTTTCGTTTAAATTGTGGCTTGAAACTTGAGTGAGAGTTATCAAAATGATTTTCTCTTCTCTAGCACTCCAATTTCTCAAACTCAAGTAATAAAGAGTAAAAACTTTAATTAGATTCTAGAAGTTTGTGACTTGATGCAAGAAATCAAACAATGGTGTAATAAGCTAGAGCGAATTAATATTGATATTGGTTAAACATGGAGTTGAAGATTAATTTTTACTTTAGTAATTTATTACAAAAAGTAAATTTTAAATCTAATTTAACTTTACAATTGTAAAATAATATATACATTCACACATATAAATTAACTTTATATATAATTTATATGAAACTTCAAACATGATAAAAATGAGATTATCAAACCTGCATGAAGGAAACTCTTGCATCAAGTTTTCAAAATAGATTAAGGAACTATTCAAACATAGATACAAAATTGAGTTAGGTTACCCATAATGATTTTAATTGTCACATGTTAATTTTTAGTTATACATCTAAAATATGTCGTGTTATAATAAACTATTATAACATTATAGAAGATACAGTCCATGATGATTTCTCTAGTATTTGATCAACAAGTGTAATTTTGTTGTGAGTATTTCTTTTGCATTAAGGATATTAATGTTTGAGGCGATAGTTTTATGGGTTAAAAATTTCCACAACCGTAATCTATGAAATACGGTATAATTTATTACTGTGAGTATTAAAAAAATATGTTAGGGATACATCTTAGAATTGAGCATGTGAATGATATATACTTGCAAAAATAGATAATGTTGTAGGCAAAGATTATATATCTAGTAAAATTAATAATGTATTTTATTTATGTTTTGAGATACATGTATGTTATTGACTGTGTATACAAATATACGTCTATATAATATTATATATATATATATATATATATTATGGGTTTTCTCTAAAAAAAAATGAAGAAAAGAGTGTGGTTGATGATTGTAACTGAAGACGCGGTACAAGGAAAATGAGTGTGAGGAGTTGAAGAATTGGACTTGAAATATGGTATGAATTAAATTCAGATTGTCTATTAACGTGTGGAAATCATCATTTTTTCTAACCTAATTCATTTCCATGTCACTGCGTATACGACTTGTCTGCAAACTCTGTTCATTCTTCACTGCACCATTTTATAAGTGACCATTAGTCTTGAACTTTTTAATATGAACATTCAATATGGTCAATATTATAAGTCAACTGGTGATCACGTGACTACTAATAAATATGTATGTTTTTATTTTTAGTTTTAACACATAAATTTAACAGTCAAATTTATAATATTCATTTTTCATTTTAAAATATAAAATTATAAAAAATAGGTTTTTCAATTTGACTAAATATTAAATTAAGTTTTAAATAGTTTTTATATTTGAATTATTTAAATTAATCAAAAGCATTAAGTAAGAGTATTATTATTGAAACATTCAAAAAATACTTTAATGGAGACCATAAAAGATCCACGGTACTTTACGATGAAACTTGTCCAAACTTTATAAAATTGATAAAAATAACTTCTAAATATAATATTTGAACAAGAAGCTAGTATGATAAATTATTTAATAATTAGTTTTAATGAGTAATACTAAAATAAATAAAGAAAATAAAATACTAAAAAATATAATTATTATTAAATCTAATTATTATTAAATTTAATTCTTATAAAATAATTTAATCGTTATCACAAATAATATTACATTATAGATTTTATTTCTTATTACAGAAAACTCGAGATTTGAGAAACATCAAATATTTGTAATTGGAACATTCTGACCTCTATGAAGTTTTTAAAAAAGAACTTGCTAATAATAGCAATTTTGAATTCACTTTCTTTTATTTATATAAGAGCCTTGAATTACCTGAATTACCTGAATTACCTATAGTCTGGAAGATTTAAAATATGTAATAGGAAAAAAAAAGTCTTTCTCCTACAACAATGGTTCTATTGATATTGTAAAAAGTTCCTATCAAAGTGGTCCTCGTCCTGCACTACGTTTTCCATGTCTTGAAAACAGAACTATTTCTTTCTAGAATAAAATCAGCTGTAAAATTGTGAACTGCGCCACCGCCACCCTCGCGATAGTTATACTCTTTTCCTTTGGTGTGAAATATTGTTTACAAATATTGGTGAATAAGAATTTGAAGGTGATATTGCATTCCTATTTACATATTTGAAAACTAAAAGATGTGAGATTTTGCGGGATGAAGCGATTTTCAAATCTTTCCTCACCTACGTTAATTTGAGGATATTTTTAATAAAAATATATTTTCATTTTCAGTTTTGTTTGTTCACTCTATTATTGGTTACTCTTTCAGTTAGACAAAGATTCTCGTGAAGCCATGAATCACACAATTTCACATGAGTGATCATACAAAATTTGGTTTTGATTTTCTTTTATTATTAAATATGCATTTAATGACGAAGTTAGTTGGCATAAGTAGTTGGTGAGTATATAAATTTTAAGACATAGAAAAGTTGAGTTCATTTTCTTTTGTTATGATGAAGATAATGGTGTTCTAAGCTGTTTTATGTGAGTTATTTGTGTGTTTGCATGGTTCATGGGTTCATAGTTTTGTTTTCAGTACTGAGTTGTGAGGTGTGTTATCAAGCTTATGTGTGTTATCGAGTTGTTAATATTTTATCATTCACAACTTCCATGAGGTGACGATGAAAATTAACCAAAGCTTGTAGTTGAAGATGAAGGATGGGAACTTATCCCTTTTAAGGTGGAATCGATTCCACCATGCAGCAAGATGAAAAATGGAATCAATTCCAGTAAGGTGTAATTGATTCTAACATATAGGGAACTGATTCTAAGAGTTTGGAATATGTAAGGCGTTGTAACCCATTCCAAGAGGTTGCAATCAATTTTATGGCATTGTAACCCATTCCAGTACTTCTGTTTTGTGTTGCAAGAGATCCATGGCGAAAAGGACAAGCTAGAGTTGGTGCTCGTACACGCTATGAAGTTGGGTTTGTGAGATGGTGTTGACCTCATGGTGGATCTTAATTTGTGACTGGTGTAGGAGGTGGAGCAAATGGTTCTTAATTGGTGGAGGTCGTTAGTGGTTCTTATAGGTGAAGTTGTTTTTCATTTGGTTTTGTTTGATATGTGGTAGTGTGTTAGAGTTTTCATGGTGATTCATGATAACATTGTTTCATTTGCATTGTATTTGCTTGTGATTGTGTCTCGAGATAGTGGATATTGTGTATGGAGGTGTTAGATCTTGGTGCAAGAACGGTGGTAGATGATGTATGTGTTAATGATGGTTTATTTGTGTTGGTGAGATAACAATACTTTTTTGCTTAAAATTTGTTGTTATTATTTTTCTAAACTTATGAGCACACTTTGCTTGTGGTACTAGATCTCGAAGAGAAGATATTGTGTGCCTGAATTGGTACTTGATTTGGAGGTGGTGATTGGATATTGTGTGCTTGTTTGGGTATTGGGGTATTCTATTATTTATTTATTATTTTTTTAAAATTTTAATATTTCAAATAAAATTTTCAAAACATAGGTAATTTATAAGTATCATTTTTACAATTTGATAATCTTCATTTTCTACTTATTAAAACATTTTTTTAAATCTATCACATAATTAAATCTCTTAAATTTTTTCAAATTTATTTTCAATCATCTCCGAATCCCTTAAAAGAACCATCACTCTCAAATCCATTCAATTGTACCCGTGATTCCCCTTCATATTTGATTGGTTTAATTTAAATGTTTCACTCAGCCTAATTTATCAGAAATCATGAAACATTCCTATATAGGATAACAAATCACAATAAAATGGAATCATGTCACCACAAAGATAGGTTTATCTGCATGTCTCAAGAGCATGGGCGAGAAAAAGCATATATATATATATATATATATATATATATATATAGTGTTAACAGAATGTTGTTTTACATGAAAGATATACACCACCCTATATGAACAATAAATAAACCAGGAAAGTCAAATGTCATGTGTTCTCCACGAATAAAAATTATCACAAATAACTTATTATATCAAGAATACAAAGTGACAAAAACGAAATTTGCGGCAGAGCTTTACAGAGGTTTGAACATACATTTCTTTTCCAAGGTTTGTGGTAAGTCTCACTATCTGGTTTCCCTTATATGGTTACAAACCCTAATGACTAGCAGGATGTCAAAGCATTGTGGAATGTTCTATTTACCAATCATCATCAAGGTTGGCTTGGTGGAAACATAAAACAGTGCATATAAATATGAAGAACGATACAAGCTCAATGAGCATCGCGCCTGTCTCAATCATATGTGCATGCTTGAGGATTATAGGAATGGCTATGCTCCCAACGGCTGATGCTCCAGTCAAAAATTTTGCAGCATCTATCCAACTGCAAACAGTGGCGGGTGTTACATTTACCGTTGAAATAAATAATATGTAGATATAACTGTCCAAGCATTCATATTGAGTTGAATAAAGGTTATATAAAGAAGAGCAGCACCAATTGCATTGCATACAACTACCAGTAACCCAAAAGCCAATCGCATGGAAATTGTTTCTACATAAATCAGACAGCTTTTCTGAGCTCTAAATGGCAACAGATACCTACCCCCCACCATCACGGCTCATTAGAAATTGAGTGGATCCACCTCCAAAGAATAAGCAAGGCATAGGTACAAGCACATACATCAGAGCTGCAGGAGCAATGTTCTCACCATTAATTTCTTAAACAAATATACAAGACATTTCCAGTTTAAAAGACTCTAACTAACCTGATAACATGGGCCACCAATTGTTATATATTGCACATGCCTGCCACACCAAATAAAAAGTAAATGGTAATACATTTAACACTTTCCCTCTCAACAGATAAGATGACTCATTTCAATCAGATCGTGTATCAATCACATCATAAAAAAATCTATTTGAACTCATCATCTTTCTTTTCATGTTTAACCTAAATTTGGCCCATAGATTATGGACCTCACCAGTATGTATTTCCCTACATTCCAATGCATCCACTCGGACACCAATCTTCTTTTTTTCAGAATGTAGTCATGAAAAGCAATATGTAACAATCAAAACCAAACATAGAATAATCAAAAAACAAATTAAAGACCTCAAAATTGATCAAACCAAAGTTGGCAGAAACATAATTGTGAAAGGATAAAAGAAGAGATTATTCATTTCAGAATAAGCACACAATCAGTCTCGTTGTGAAAAACATACCAGAATCTGAAGCAAAATGCTAGCTGAAAACATAAAAGCCAACCCAGCAAGGCTGCAAGTGTAGGAAAAATAAATTTAAAATTTATTTATCTTAGTTTGCAATATAATCTATCATCATGGTACAAAATCAAGAGAGCTTAGTTTACACTTACACTGAAAAGACGATAACAGTCCCAGAACACCCATTTATTCGCATCAGATGCAAGAAAGAGTCAGTAACATAATTTAAAATATAAATTGAGAAATAAAAAAATAAAAGAAGAAGGAACATAAAAAGGCAAGAAAATACAATCCTTAGTTGGAAAAGTGCTACATGAATTTGGCCACTTCCCACAGCAGTATATAATCCCCAAAAGAATAAACGGAATGAAAATAAATATACCGTTAGTAGGATTTAGCTTTTCTAACTTAACTGTTACCCAAAAAAATGAGATTTTAACAAACTTTTTATAGTTTCTCATATCCTCTAAGAAAGCACCCCCCTCAGTTTGGAGAAGCCAATTCCCTTGAGGGTGATGGCGACACAAACACACGCAGGTGACTAATTTGGACCTCTAATCTTACCATCCAAGCTACTCTTCAGCCTGTGTTTTGCATTCTTACTTCTTTAGAATTGAACTCAATATTGCAAAGGAAAATTTATCAATCGGTGATTTTTATAAGCAAACATCCAAGCATAAATTCCCAATTTAATTACAGCCTGGCCCCTGTACTGTTAAAATTTTATGTTGAATTCTGTGCTCTTTGAAAACTTTCATTAACCATCGTTCCTCTTTGTGAAGATACTGTCTTGGTATGCCCTAACCCCCATTCCCACCAGAATCATAGAAAACCCAATAAACGAATTGCCATCGAAATTTACCATTCATAACCCTAAGCAAATTGTGAACAGGTCTAGTTTTATCCGTTTGTTGTGGCAATATTTGTTGCAACAATGGGTAGTGGAAGCGAAAGTAATTGCGACCTAATTAGAGTAATAAAGAGAATTCCAGAGAGAAGAAAGTTGCAATAGAGACCAGTTACCGTGTATTGTCATTGCCATGCTCGAAAAGGGTCCTCAGCTCTCTCCGATTGCAATTCACAGAACAGAGATTTTCTCCGACGGAAGAAAGTGCAGAGCTGATGTGGGACTTGCTCCGAATTTTGACCCACTCTTTCTCGCCTTAATTTTAATCAATGCTATTGGACTTTCCAGTTATTCCAATATATTAACAGGTACTATATCACAAAAACAAATACTGCTGGCTAAAAATTCAACAAAATTTATCTTCACCATCTCATCACTTCTTATTTATTATTTATAATAGTAGAATTAGGATTTAGTATGCTTATTTCACCAAATAAATTATTATTTAAAACATATAATATTTGCATATATAAAAAACTATATTTTAATTAAATTTTATATCAAATAGATAGATATTTCTTTGAATATAAAAGTTGTTTTTAAAATTTCTAACTAGAATTTATTACGTATAAAAAACTTATATTGCTAATTTGTCAAAAGTATTTTTCTGTAAGGTTTTGAGATAATTATCATATTAGTATACAGTTGCTCTTATATTTAAATATATATAATTGAAAAAGTGAAATTTTTATTTAATATAATATAAAAAAGTAAGCACAATATTACATTTTAGTTTTTCATTTAAGAAAATTCTTTATTTGGAGTAAATCAATATGAAAGGCAATTTTATCGCGATAATTCTTTTATCAAGTACAAGACTGTTACAATCTTGTTAAAACCACCTTAACTCCCCCCACCTGTTTGTCAAAAATTTCACCTTTAACACCTTCATCTCAAATGAATGCAAAATGTCTAAAAATTGATGTTCAAAAAGCAGAACTTTGCTTTTTGTAGCATTATTATAGGTTTCACTCAACACATAAAAGAAACAAAAACTACACTTTGAGTAGTTGTAAGTTGTTGAAGAAAGCAAGCGCAATCCAATCGACCTGCATTGGGGACCAACGGACCTGATTGATTTCAGCCGGAGATCCGTACCACATCACTGGCTCCACTTCACAACCATTCCTTGATGGAAACCTTGAGTCCATAACGTCCCAGATGAAGGCCCTTGCATCATCACCAACAGAACACAAATGTCGTCCAAAATCTGGGGACCATGACATCGCATTAACACATGTTCGATGTTTACTCAACTCCATAAACGGTGTGGTCGGAAGCCTGATATCCAATATCACCACCTTGTTGCTGTCCAATCCCACTGTCGCCATAAATCTTGGATCACTTTTGTTCCATTCTAATCGCAGCAAGGGAGAATCCTGCACAGGATTTTCATAAATTATGGTAGATTTCTCCTTGTCTCTTAAGTCAAACACCCTCACAGAACCATCACCTGACACGGAAGCAAACACATTGAACCCACCCCATGAAATGTCGTACACTTCTTTGTCGTGTGCCACTAGCTGTGCCTTCATGACTTCCCTCTCAATGTCCCAGATGGTGCATGTGGTGTCCACACTAGAAGTGGCTATAAGACGAGTGTCAAACACTGCCCAGTCAAACGAGGTAATTGCCGAGTGATCGCTGACTTTGTTACCGATTAGCGGGGACTTCAGTTGAATGTGGTCTTCGTGGATTTCCCACAATCTAAGGTTGTCGCCTGAGGTGGCAATGAGGTCTGGATTGGTGTCATCCTCGGAGGGAAAGAACATGATGTTTGTGGGTGCATAAGGGTGGTCAAACACCAGACGAGGATCGGTGGTGAAATTGAAGGTGTCGTTGTTGAAGTGGACAAGCTCAACCTTGTTGGTGTAATCTTCCAAGTAACTGCCAATGGCAAGGCGAGGGCTTTTGTCACGACGCATCGACCATGCCAGAGAGGAAATTGGCCACTGAGCAGCATACGTGTGAACGCCTTGTTTTGCCTCTGTGTGGCTTTGAATGCTGTAGTTGACCTCAACGGAATCCATGAAAAATGCAATTCTACAGTTAATTAGATTAGCATGTGCAAGTCAGAAACTGTTCCATTTTTCGCTCAGAGTTAGCTCAAGATGGGAAACAAAATGAATTGTAAAATAACGTGTAACCTTTGCAACTAGATGAAGCAATGAACTTACTGAAACTGCTGTTAGCTCAGCAGAAACTTGGTGAGGCTGCACACACATCCAAGGCATCGATAAAGTTAATTAGGATAAAAACAAATATTCAAAATCAGAAACACTACTGTGGTAGGCGGTTTTGGACAGTAAAATAGACATCTAACATGGTTTTCTATAGTATCAGAGGTTTCTCCCATTGATCAGGCCATCCAATATCCTTATATCAAATACCATACATATCTACTGATAAATTAAGACTATTTAAAAATTTGTGATGCTAGAAACCATATATAAAAAAACATATACTATTCAGTGATGCAGAAGAAGATAACTAACTATTATTGCATTGTGCATTCAGCAGACCCTGAAATAAGTTCTGTTTGCAACTTTCCTGATATGACTACAAGAAGCAGAAGGCAAACGAAATGACAGTATTATTTCACATTGTTCTAACAGAAAGATACTAATAACATGTTATGTGTAAAATGTATGTGACACCATTTTATTTGTAATCCTGCTTAATTAACAGGTCAAATCACATTTAAACAAAAGAGAGACTATATATAGACATATATGTATATTATGCATTTTATCAGCAACTGTTTTTTTCTTAATATATTATATTACCTTTTATACATGCAAATTCTTTTTTCCAGGTACTGAATAAACTTTGTTGTCTGGCAAACTTTTACCCCTAGTGAAAGTATACAATGATGTCCAAAAAGGAATTTTATAGAACATAACTAGACTTTTGTAAGAGTATAAACAGTCAATGGTTTTGAGAAGCGGAGAGCGTTAGAACATTTAATGACTTTGACCGATGATTATTTTCAGAAAACAGGGACAAAAAAACGAAGGGAAAAACTAGATAGAAGATGAAAACAGAGTATAATAAAGCGTGGTTGGAAAAGGGGCTTACATTGTTCAGATCCCAAAGCCTCCGGTGTTAACTTGGTGCAGTGTGGAGTACAACTGCGATCTGTGGCATGCCTATAAAAGGGTCAGTGGCAAAGTAAATATCAAAGGAACAGCAGCAGCAGAGCAGCACCAGTTTGAAAAGGGAAGGGAAGGTGAAACTAATGGTCAATATTGTATGGTTAGCTTTTGCAACTCAAAAACATTTGTAAAATCAATTTGTCCCTGTCCTTCAGACAACTGTTAGATTGCTACTAATTGATTGAGAGACAGTTAAAAATTTGTTCATCAATGGAAATTTCTCAAAAAATGACATATATATTATAAATTAATTTTATTACTTTTAGTTCATAAAAATCTCAATCCATCGAGATATATATTTTAAAAATAAATACTAACGATAATAAAATAAATTTTCACAATTATTTCTAAAATATAATCTTTAACCAAACTTAATTTAATTCAGTGAAACAGAAAAGACTAATTTACTGTTAATATCAGATTCCCAACAATTACAAGCATAATAATAGATGGGAGAAGAGTTGATTAAAATAAAAAGATTTCGAATTATTTGTTTATTTTTATTAAAATTATTTGTTTTCCTTAAGCTAAGTACAAATCAATCTATGATTTAAAAGTGAAGAATGGCTTTTATACTTTCCATGTGTTAAAATAATTGTTTTTTTTTTATATATAAAATATACATCAGACTTCTTTAGAATCAAAGCTAAAACTCTCTTCTAACTTTCAACGTCACAGGGTGTTACTTGTATTAGTTGAACCTGCACTTCTATTTACATGGGCACAAATTTCGATCTTCATGGAAGCTCCAATAATTGAAACCTTTTTTTACCAAACTTTTAAAATTTATAGTTAAGCGTACCAAAACAAAATTAAGTTGTTTCTTTCAATAAACTTATTCTTATGGCTGTGTTTAAAATTAATTTCGGAAATATTAATATTAGTTGAATGATATTTTAAATTTTTATTTTACGTTAAGGATTATAGTTAAAAATATGAAGTATAATTACTTTTAGATTGTAAATATAAACTTATTTTTAAAAGTTTAATAATAAGTTGCGTGAAAAATTTTGCAGTTTAAAAAGAAGATTGGTGATAAAATATTAGTAATTATTTTATGAAACTCGTGTAATGCACATTAAATAAATACACGCACTAAATTTCATTAAATTGTGAAAAAAATATTATTTTTCTTTATGAGAAAATATATTAGAAACGCGATTTTTCCAAAATCCAATATTTTTAAAAAAGTTAAAATCCCACGTTTTTTTTATTAGAAACTTACCACAACTTTCATTAACAATAATTTATATTATGCCTAACTTTTGTCTAAAACGTGATTTTACCAAAATCCAATCTTGTTATTCTAAAGTAAGAAACCCGTACATAACAGGAAAATTTGGACATAATAGAAAATTAATATTTATGAGAGTTGTCGTGAGTTTCTAACAAAAAGACCTGGAATGTTTAAATTCTTTAAACCAATACTCCTTAAATGCGGTAAAAAAAATCAACATTCATTCAATACAATTCATTAGAATAATACAAATATGGACCTTTCAAGAAATATATGAATAATATAATTTACTCTATAAAGAACTTTACTTCCTACGTTAAGTAATTCAATTAATGAATACTATGATAAGCAATTTTCATATTAATTTGTAAAAACTAAATTTGAGTTAACTAGCACTACAAAATAAATTATTTTATTAGCGGATCCAAATATTAAAAAAATGTTTTATGGCATACTAAGAAATAGCTTATCAAAATTTTTATTTGACGCTACTATATCATACGTAAATTTGGATATATATATATATATATATATATATATGACTAGATTGCATCAAATGTAAATTTACTATTGATACAATATAGTCAAACGTTATTAGCAGTTAAGCAGCATATGTAAAGAACGGTATGGGTGTTTCACTTTTATATTTAAGTTGTTTATATTCTTTCAGACCTTTTTAGTTTAAATATTAGTCTAAAAAGATACTTTAACACCTAAAAGAAAAAACATCATTTGATTGAAAAAAGTATATTTATTCATTTTTAAAATTAGAAAATTAAAATATATCTAAATTTTATACAAAAATTAATTATAATTTTACATTTAAGTTTAGAGAATAAAAAATACTTTAACTCTGATTTAAAATATTTTATGAAGTTACAAGTATATAAGTTAAATTTTATT